GCTTATGCCAGGCACTCTTGGTAGGGATGGGCTGTTGCCTGTCCTTCTTGTCCTGCCCCCATTGTTTGCAGCCCTTTTCTATAGTGTGGGGTCACTTGCAAGGCAGGGACTGCCAAGGCAGGTGCAAGAGCAGACCATTTCCAGAAAGCCGAATGGACTGCTAAGACCCCCGGGGCAGACATTCTGGGCACTGGGTCACTGGGCTGCCTGATGCAGAGGCTGGGCAGAGCACCTGGGTGCTTCCCAGAAGCCAGCTGCTCAGCTTCAGGCAGGTGAGCTGCTATAGCGCCTTGCCTGGGCTCTGCCTCTGTGGCAATATCCGTGGTCCTGGGGCCCCTTCTGCACCCGCCTGAGGCCGGGGTGTGATGGAGGAAGCGGGTCACCAGCCTCCTGGTCCACCTGGTCTGCCATGTGCAGAGACACAATGGGGACTCCATGGAGGGTCATCCCAAGCCCCTGTCACCACACAGGCACGACTTGTGTCCCCTGCAGACTGTGGCCTACAGTGCTCTTCCTCCAGAAAGCCTCCTGGGCCTGCCTCCCCCAAGCCTCTTCTCCCTCGCTTCCCGTGTCCATGTGACACATGGTGTCCAGTTGCTGCAGGGCCAGCTCATAGCTGTCCAAAGTGCTTTAAGTCCTCCTGTTTATCAAAACGTCTTGCTGGTCCCAGGAGAGGTGCAGGGATGTGCCACCCCCCACACCCCTACACAGCTCCTTAAGTTGTCGTTCCTGCCAGGATAAGCAGGGGGGCCAGGCCAGGGTGGGGGACAGCCAGGTGGCTCAATCTCTCTCCCAGTCCCACCATGTTGCATGACCTTGGGCCCGTCCTGGCTATCTGGGCTTCCCAGGAAATGCCTGTCACAGGTGGAGGCTGTGAAGCTAAGTGGAGGTGACATGCTGGTCACCTGCTGGTACCTTCCAGGCTGGAGACAGCAGGCAGGGGCCTTTGGCCTGAGGCCAGCTGGCCAGACCCAGCAGGAAGGTCCCTCTCACCCAGGCCCACCCCAGTAATGGTATTTGGAGAGTCTCTGGGGACAGGCCATGGTCACTGCTGCTCCAGAAGAAGCTTTCTGCATCTACGTGCCGTGCAGGTACGGGAGGTCAAGGATGACTCAGTTCTCTTTCCCATCTTACACAACGGCAGTTGAGAAGGCTGACCTGGACACTAGGAGAAGAAACCTGCAGCCAAGAAGGCTGATGTCATTGGCAAGTTAAAAAGGGAGACCCCGAGCTGAGAAGCCCAAGAGGGGAAGCCCCACTGCAGCCGAGACCCTGTCCTGGCTGGAGGAGCTGGAGATACTCCCCATCTGCGAGGTGTTCCTGAAGGGCCGTGTACGAGAGGAAGCACTCAGCTGCTGCATCAAAGTCGAGAAGAAGGAGGAGAAGGTTCTTGTTGCTGTCACAGCACCAGTTGGTGGTGACAAGAACGGGAGGTGCCAGGGTGGTGAGGCTTTGCAAAATGCCTAGATGCTATCCCACTGCAGATGTGCCAGGAAAGCTGGCAAAACACCCCCAGCCAGCGGGTGGGAAACTGCGAGCCAGCCTCACTCCAGGCCCATCCTGATCTTTCTCACCGGGCGCCACGGAGGCAAGAGAGGGGTCTTCCCAAAGCCGCCGAGCAGTGGCTTGCTACTTGGGTCGGCACCTCTTTCCTTTAAGCAAGTTCCTCTGCATAGAACACACCAGAAATGTGCCATCGCCACTGCCACAAAGGCTGATGTCAGCAACATAAAAATCCCAAATACCTCACTGATGCTTACTTCAAGAAGAAGAAGTTGGGGCTGGGGATGTGGCTCAAGTGGTAACGCGCTTGCCTGGCAAGCGCGGGGCACTGGGTTCGATCCTCAGCACCACATACAAATAGAAAAAGATGTTGTGTCCACCGAAAACTGAAAAATAAATATTAAAAAATTCTCTCTGTCTCTCTTTAAAAAAAAAAAAAAGAAGTTGCGGAAACCCAGACACCAGGAAGGTGGAATCTTCAACAAAGAAAGAGAAGATATGAGATCACAGAGCCGCGTAAGGTTGATCAGAAAGCTGTGGACTCACAAATTTTACCCCAAACCAGAGCTGTTCCTTATCTCCGGGGCTATATGCCATCCGTTTTTGCTCTCACAAATAAAATTTACCATCACAAATTGATGTTCTAAATTTCTTACATAGAATCGAATTAAATAACTGATACATTAAAAAAAAAAAAAAAAGAGGTGGTCAAGGATGGTCACAGCGTTTCCAGGGAGAACCTTGAGGTCTGAACTACTAGTCAGGCCAAGGTCATGTTCCTGGGTGAAACTGGGATGGAGCCCTGGGGTCTCCTGGGCCCCCTGGGGCCCAAGGCCATTATCACAGAGAACTGGTATCAAAGCCGCCCTTCTGTAGCCAGGGCCAGTGACTCTGCGGCTACCCTGGTGGGACAAGACTAGGACTCAACAGAACACTGCCTGGGCGGCATGGGGTGGGCTGAGGCCAGGGCAGCCCCCCACCTATCCACAATCCCAGAGGCCCCTGTACAGAGATGCATGTTTCAGAGCCAGGCCCCACAGCCATACAGCCCCTGGGCCACTGCCTGCAGCTAGCCAGGTGACCACGGCCCTACCCTCTCCAACCCTATGCTTGAGCAGGGCTCTAACAGGCCCCTGTGGCCCCAGCTCAGGGGCTGCCTGGGGCTTGTGAGGTGAGACCCCACATGACAAGGGCACCTAGAGGGAAGGGACTCTGCAGAGAACTGGTTAGGGGCATCCTTTGGGGCTGCTCTGGGAGGAAGGAGCTCCTGGTCTCTGAGCAGCAAGCTCAGTCTGGATGGGGCCCAGGGCCTTTCTGACCCCACTGAGGCTCCAAATCCTCAAGGGGAGGGGTGCCAGGGCCCATGCCCCAGGGAACCATGGCAAGTTCCAAGACCCAATCCTCCCATCGAAAATGTAATTTGGAAACCAGCAAATCCAATAGGCCTGAGTGCCACAAGTGCCCGCTCAGCTCCAGCACCATACCCTGCATAGCTGTGCCCACCCAGCCAGCTGCCCACCCTGGCCTTGCTCCTGTACTTGACTGCCCAGGCTGTGTGGGGCATGAAGGCCTCAAGGTCACCATTTAGTGGCTTCCACTCAGGCTACGCCCTGAGCAGGCAGGGAAACTGGCTGCCAGGGCCCCTGCCTGGCTACATAGAGGATGGGGCAGGAGCTATTCTCAGGCTACCTTCACCCATGAACACCTCTGGCTTCTGGACAGAGGGCCAGGGACAGTGGTTGAGAGGGAAAGGCCCTACCCATCCCCCCAGGTACTCTATCCACCAGGCTGTGGAGCCAGCCTCCTGGAGCTCTGCCTCAGACGGAGCCTCATGGGAGCAGGGCCCAGCTACCATGCTCCCTGGAACCTGGACACTGAGGCTGAGGGTCACCAGGCTTGGCTCAGCCGGGCCTCCTCTTCCTTTGCAGTCCTCTGGGTGTGGGCCAGGGGATGGAGGCCGGCAGCTCCCCATCACTCTGGCTATGGGAAAGGGCATCCTGTGAAGCACAGGCTCTAGACAGAAGGCAGAGCCAGGGGTCCCGTCCAGGTGGCCCTGTGCCTGCAGCCATCTGGGGAAGTCACACGGGGGCTTGAGGATGGGCCCCAGGCCACATCAGCCCCCAAGGTCCCACCTCCCGCCCCTGAAGGATAGCAGGAGCAGCTGCTCAGTCTGGTCAGGGAAGTCTCAGGACTGCTGTCCCCAAAGCCCTTGTGCACGAAGCACCGGCTGCACAGGTTTATAAGGGCCACGCTGCGTGTGGGAGGTAAGGCCAGGCCAGACCTGTACCTCTGTGACAGCAGCACGGAACGAGGGCCTTGCTGCGAGGTCAGTGTAGGGGAGGGCGCCAGGAGGCACAGCCAGGTTAAGGTCAGGCCAAGGCTGGTGTGTCCGAGGAGGAGGCTGGGGGCCAGGGGAACTGGAGGGAGAGGAGGCAGAAAGGGCTGGAACCACAGGACCCCTGTTGGGGTAGGATGCAGGTTTCCTGCTGGGAGGATAGTGTGTGGTGGGGTGCCAGCAGGGAGGCTGCAGGGCCACCCAGAGCAGGGTGGTCAGGGAGCTGGTGCCCAGAAACATTCTACAGCTAATAGTGCCACCTGCTGCTCATGTTGGGTGTCGCCCTGGCCTGGCTCTCCCTGGCCCCAGGATGGATGGGACCTGTTCCCTGGGGTGCAACCCAGCTCTGAGTGACCTTGGGACACACTGGGCAGACCTGCTGCCTCCCTCCGGGGTAGATGTGGCAGTCTGCCTTCAGGCACAGGCTGAGCTCAACCCCACACAGCCACCTCCCTGCACTGTCCCAGGAAGACCTAAGCTGGGACAGCTAGGAGGAGCAGATGTGGCCAGGGTCCCAGTAGGCACTGCCCTGGGCTCAGTCTCCCAAGTGTGGAGCAGGGACCGGGTTGGGACTGCAGGCTCTGACTGGGTGAGACGGCAGGTTAGGGGTTGGCTGAGGGACCACTGGTGTGGAGTGGAGCTGGTATGGGGGACATGGAGGCAGGAGAGAAGTCCCCTCGAGGACTGCAGAGGTGAGGTGCACTGTCTGCACTAGCACCCTACCCCAGGCCCATCCCGGACTGCCCCTCCCTCCAACAGGGCCTCACAAGAGACAGGGCCTCACTGTCTTGCTATTGGAGCACAGAGTCCAGCACAGGGCCAGGCCCGGAAAACAACCCTAGGCACAAAGGACAGATGAGCCAACAAAGGTAACAGAGTGCCTAGGGCTACAGGATCCCTCCCCTGCAGGCTCCCAGATCACAGGGACACACAGGCCTGGGATGGCCCCCTGCTCTGTCCCCCCTAGAACAGGGACACATAGGCCTGGGACTGGACTCAGGAACCTCCAGGAGATCTGCACCTTAGTCATGGTGGGGGGGATGATGGGGAGGAGCTGCTGGGCCCTTTAAGAGGCAGTTCTGCTGGCCCTGACTTCCCCCTCCCCCGAAGGAGGGGCCCTGCTGCCCAGCAACAAGAGGTCCTTGGTGTGTACAGTGTCCTGTCGCTTGGGCGACCAGGAGCTGCTTTCTCTTGAGACACTGTGGCTGGTGCTGTCCTGCTGACCTGGCTGCTGACTTCCAGTGACCCTCCCCCTTGTGCCCCACCCAGCCCCTGGCTGGGTGGCCAGCACCATGGCACAGACTGATGTGCTACTGACTAAGGAGCCGGCCCCGCAGACCGTGCCACCGTGTGAGCTATCGCCCAAGGTGTATGATGTGGCCTGCAATACGGGGGCCTATACGTCCTCAGGCCTGGCCACCACCGGCTTCCGCACGGCCAAGTACCTGATGGACGAGTGGTACCAGAACTTGTATGCCCACTACCACCAGGCCTTTGCGGACCGTGACCACTCAGAGCGGCAGCGGCATGAGAGCCAGCACCTGGCATCGGAGACAGAGGCGCTGGCCCAGCGCACGCAGCAGGACTCCACGCGCAGGGTGGGCGAGCGCCTGCACGACATGCACAGCTGGAAGTCAGAGCTGCAGCGGGAGGTGGAGGAGCTGATCGCAGATACTGACGGGCTGCTGGCCCAGAAGCTGCGGCTGGAGCGTGCCCTGGACGCTTCGGCAGTGCCCTATTCCATCGCCATGGACAGCCTGCAGTGCCGGGAGCGCCGCCAGCACCCTGACCTCGTGCGGGACCATGTGGAGGTGGAGCTGCTGAAGGTGGGCAGAGGACAGCACCTGCCACCCTAGGGCCCGTCCTCTCCAGAGCTCTGGGAAGTGAAGCCCGGCCCTGGCCCCGGGGTCGAGTTTGAGGCTCCCCCTCCCAGGACGCCCCTGCCCTGGACTTCTGTTCCCACAATGGAAACTCAGGGCAGTCAGAGCAGAAGGCATAGGGGCAGGCCAGGAGCTGTTTGCACCAGTTCATGCCACATGCCGCCCCTTCCTCACCTCCTGAGTTTCCCTTCTCTGAATGTTCCCTGTCTCTTTCAAACCCAGCATGACATGGCCTTGGGAGCCCCAGGAGGACTAACAGGCCTGGTTGCTGCTCCTGGGTCTGCAGAATTCCTGAGTCTCTCAAAGTCAGGGCCTCTGTATGCAAAGGCCTGTGGCAACGTGAGATTCAGGGAGATAAAGAGCCTCCCCAGTCCCAGGGCCTCAGAGAGCCCCTGCCCCAGCCCACACTCAGGCAGCAACTTGAGTCCCTCCCCTCCCACATTCTCTCCACATGCCTACCCACCCCCTCCAAGGGCCCCTGCGAGACTGTCTGCCTGCTCAAGATTCCCTAACAAGAACACCAAGGAGTGGGGACACAGACCACAGAGGAGGAGGGGCGTAGAAACCCTACCAAACCCAAGTCACAGGGAATAGGGTCCTTCACACACAGAACAGAAACCCACACTGGGCATGGTGGTGTACTCCTGTAAACCCAGCAGCCTAGGAGGCTGAGGCAGGAGGATCCCAAGTTTGAGGCATCTCATTTAATTTTTGAGGATCTTAATGAGATCTGTCTCAAAAATAAAAGGGCTGGGGGTGTAGTTCAGTTGTAGAGCAAACCTGGGCTCAATCCCCAGCACCCCCCCACACACACCCCCCAAAAGGAAACCCAGCATTACCCTCACATTCTTGATTCTCTGAGGTCCTCAGAGGGTAAGGCTAGCACTTTCAGTGCACTGGGTGGGCTTTGGGGATAATCTCAGAGCCTAGGGAAACTGTCTCAGGTGACCCTCCCCGCAGCCCCTAGAAGCCCCTGGCAAAAAACACCACCAAAAAGGTTAAGAAGCCCAGAATGAGCCCAGGAAGAAAGCTGGCTCACCCTGTTCTCCAGGAAAAAACAGTGGGGTGAAGGCTGACGAGGGGCTGGACCTGAAGTTCTACAGGGATCCAGGGCCCATAGTAGCCTGTGCCTCCTCAGACCCTCACCAGGGGTGATAGCAGGAGGGCTGCTGCTCAAGAGGGGTCTCCTCCTCCTCCAGGAGGCTGAGCTCATCCGGAACATCCAGCAGTTGCTGAAGAGGACCATCATGCAGGCTGTGAACCAGATACGGTGGGTCACAGTGGCCCCCAGGGTGGCCTAGGGATGGCCCCCGTCTCCAGCCATAGGCTAGCTGTGGGGTGGGACATGGGGGTGTGTGACCCTGTGGCTCAGAGAGGGGAGGGGGCCACCAGGCCAGTCGGTAGCACAGGGCTGACATTTTCAACCAGGCCAGCATCTGTTCTGAAGTCTCCTACCTGGGGGGCTGCTCCTGGCATTGCTGGCTTGTGAGGGCCCCGGGGACACCCTGGACAGTACAGGTCCTGGAGCTGAGCTGGAGCCCGTACAGCTGGGAGGGGTTATGGTCCTGGTGCCCTGCGGCTCCAGACCACCTTCCCTCCCCAGGCTGAACCGGCAGCACAAGGAGACTTGCGAGATGGACTGGTCAGACAAGGTGGAGTCCTACAACATTGATGATACCTGTGCCCGTTACAACAACCAGAGCACCCAAGTGCAGTTCCACCCACACTCCACCAAGCTGGAGGAAAGGTGAGAACCCCAGGGCAAGCCCAACACCTGCCCACTCGCGGCTGCCCCTGTGAAGATCTGCAGGACTCCTTCCCCCAGACCCCAAATACTCTCATTGCCCAAGCCTCTTGGGCAGCACTCCGCTCTCGGGACCCACAAACAAGACCCCTGCTCCAGCCAGGCACAGTGGCATGGGCCTGTAATCCCAGCGGCTCTGGAGGCTGAGACAGGAGGATCCCAAGTTCAAAGCCAGCCTTGGCAAAAGCGAGGCACTAAGCAACTCAGCGAGACCACGTCTTTAAATAAGATACAAAATAGGGCTGGGGTGTGGTTCAGTGGTCGAGTACCCCTGAGTTCAATCCTCGGTGCCCCCCCCCCCAAAAAAAAAGACCGCTGACCCTGTGCCCAGCATCCGTGCAGTTCACACAGGGCCAGGGAGGCGCCAGGTTGCGTTTCCGCACGCGACCAGCAGAGGGCACGCGGCACCAGCCGGAGTCAACGCCACCTGGGGTGGGGGGCGGTGGGGATGTGGCTTGGCCGTGGGGCGAGGGATGGGGCGCCATGGGACGTAACGGGGCCTTGGAATCTCGTAGAAGGACACGTGGGGACGAGGCGGAGTTACCAGGACTTGCTGGGCCACGGGACCGCGGGCGCACGGAGAACGCTACAGGGCGGGGCTACAGGGGCGCGGGGGCACTTGGCGAGGTCACGCGGGGCGGGGCTGGAAAGCACGCGGGAAGCGCCAGAACGGTCCGCACAGTCCCCCCGACCGGCCACGTCCCCGCCCGCAGCGCTTCCACGCCCGAGACCTGGGCCAGGTTCACTCAAGACAACCTGCTCCGCGCCGAGCGGGAGCTTCTGGCCTCGGCCAACTTGCGGACGCTCATCGACGCAATCCTGCGGGACACCAGTGAGGACCTGCAGCTGCAGTGCGACGCCGTCAACCTGGCCTTCTCGCGCCGCTGCGAGGAACTGGAGGACGCGCTCCACAAGCTGCGGTGCCACCTGCACAAGGTGGGGGTCGAAGGGATACACCGGCCTCTGGGAAGCCTACCCCGTCAAAAGCGCCAGCCCGGACACGCCCCCGCATGGGCACGCCCACTCCTTATGGGACAAGTCCTCCCTGGGACACGCCCACTCCTGGGAATTCTCGCCCCATAGAGAGAGACTGGATCCTCTGGGGCATGCCCAGCCGTGAGGGGCCTCCTCTGCCCTCCTCTGCCTTCCGGCACCGCCCCCTGCCCCTGTGAGACCCCAGAAGCAGGCATTCACATCTCACTCCTTAAGCTGGTGTAAAACCAGGTTCCATTGGAAGTTCCAAGTTTCTGGGTGGCTGACCAGCAGTGACAGCCTGCAGGGTGGGCTGGGGTCAGGAGGTGTGGGGCACAATGTGTCTTGGCCTCTCTCTGACTCCAGGCACTTAGCGTGGCCTTTGCTTGCCTCCATGTCCCAGGGTTGGGGCCTGTTGACCACCAGGGCTCTGGACTCTCAGGCCAGAGCTGGGATGTAGCAGGCTGCACCAGGTGCCCCTGGATGGGGCTCCTGCTAGACACAGCCCTGAGGCTGGGGTCTCCAGCCAGGCCTGGACAGCGTGGCCAGGGAAGGAGGAAGTGCTGGGGAGGGAGAGAGGGCAGCCTGCAGGTGCAGGCCTGGCTCAGGGCCATGACACTGTCCTCTGCAGATCCTGCGGGAGATCACTGACCAGGAGCACCAGGTGGCCGTGCTGAAGCAGGCCATCAAGGACAAGGAGGCCCCGCTGCGCGTGGCCCAGACCCGCCTGTATCAACGCTCATTCCGGCCCAATGTGGAGCTGTGCCGGGACACTGCCCAGTTCAGGTGCCCAGAGTCTCTGATCTCCCTCAGCCATTGAAGCCTCTCACACAAGCAGATATGGACCCTGGACATGATCCTGGGTGGGGCTTGCATGTCAAGGTTCCATGTCACTCAGGGCTGTCTGATCTTCCTGCAAGAGACCTCAGGGCCTGACAAGCTGAACTTCTGAGGCCACAGGCCCAGAGGAAGGCCCTGCAGGCCTGTCTGCCCACCCTGCCTCTCTGCTGTAGAGTGACTGTGTTCCTGCTGAGGCATGGATGGGCCACATGCTTGTTTTCCTAGTTCATCAAGTCCCAGTTCCTCTTCTAACATGAGTCCCCCCTTCTTTCTCCTTCTCTGTCCTTCAATTTGTTCAAGAAACTGGAGGCCTCAGCAGGTTCCAATGGTGGGTACTGTGTCCAGTCATCAGGGATTGAGCCTGGTCAGCTGGCCACTGCTTACCATGGCCACTTGGTGCTGCTATTGCCCAGGGTCTTGCAGAGCCCAGGGCAAAGGCTCCACTTCCCTGCTGGGAGCAGCTGGTGGAGGTCCTGCATAACTTGGAGAGAAGAGCCTCTTCCTTCACACTGTGGCCCTTAGGGCTCCACCCAAGGGCATGGCCCTGGCCCTGGCCCTGGCCTGCGTGCCATAGGGTCAGCTTCCCTGTGAGTTTCCTGACTGCCCAGAGTCCCCAACTTCTGGAACTCTGCTCCCCACCGAGCACCCACTCATGCGCCTCTGCCCGCAGGCTGGTGAGCGAGGTGGAGGAACTGCACATGTCCCTGGATGCACTGAGGGAGAAGCTCCAGGAGGCAGAGCAGGCATTGTGCAACCTGGAGGAGACACGTCTGAGCCTGGAGAAGGACATCGCCATCAAGACCAATAGTCTGTTCATCGACCGCCAGAAGTGCATGGCCCACCGCGCCCAGTACCCCAGTGTCCTCCAGCTGGCCGGCTACCAGTGACTGCTGCTGGCACCCGGTGGTACTGTGTTGTCCCAAATAAAAAACATATTGACTTTCTGCAGATGCGTGTGGTCCAGGGTGGAGTCCAGTTGCTGTCCATCTGGGTAGCATCTCCCATCCTGTACAGCCAGGCTTTGCCTGTAGACCCCATTGTCCTGGCCTGGAGAGATGAGGGCTCAGAGCTGAGGGCCAGTGGTCCTGTGCTTCAGTGGACATCATCAGCCTAAGTGAAGACAGAGGCTCTCCACAACCCAACTTCACTGTTGCACTGTCCAGTCCAGAGCAGGGCTGTCCAGCTGGGCCTTCCCCTCCCCTCTGGGCTGGCTTCTTCCGGCCATCTCTGGCCTTGGGCATCCTGTTGGGGTCACCTCATGGCTCCTTCCCCAACACCCCAGGCCTTACCCTCAGCTCCTGTATCCTCAGGATGGGCTGATCCTCCCCAGCACCCTGCCTCCATAGGACCCGGGAAGGGGGCTGGTCACACCCTGAAGAGTGGGGAGGGGGCTCTTGTCTCTGAGGCCCAGGCCCACAGGGTGCTAGTACTGCCCTACAGGGAAAGGGGAGAGGAGCAGAGGTGCAAAACCATCTGCACATGGACACCTAGCCCCAAGAGCCTGGGCTCTGCTGCCCCTGCCCCCACCACTTGCTGACCCCTACATAGGCCACTCCAAGTCCCTGTGTGGACCCCTGCAGTCACAGACCCCAGGAGAGCAGGCAAGTGCAGAGAGCCTTCCTGGGATCATCATCCACCAGGATGGGGATGGGGTGCCTGAGTGGGAGCAGGGCAGGGAGGGCTTCCTGGGGGAGGCCTTGGCTGCTGCAGTGTGGACCAAGGCACAGAGCCTGGGTCAGGGGAGGAGGTGGACATGCTGGATAGAGAGAGTCCTGAAGCCTCTTGCCCTCTTTGGCATTCTTCTGGGCCAGGCCCTTGGCTCCCTGGACACTCACTGCCCACTGAGGGGGAGAGGCAAACATGGCCTAGGCAGCAGCCTCCTGCTTTCTGTGCGGGTCACTCTCACACAGCTGCCCTGCCAGGCCCCACCCAGCCTTTGCCTGGCAGCCCTGCCCTTTCTTCCGCAGCCTTGACACCTGCAGGGGAGGGGCAGCAAACATGGGAGGAGCCTCCAGGTCCTCCCTTCAGTAACGTTGCCTCCTGGCCCCACAGAAACCACTTATCACGGCTTGGTCACCACGACGACAGCCAGAGCCCTGCTCTTGCTTTCTAGTGTGCCATTTAAATTCACTCTGGGTGCTGCCACCATGAAGCTCCAGTGGGGGGACAGTCCAGAGGTTCTGGGGCTGGCAGAGACTTGGAAGCTGTGCCTCTCAGCAGTACATGGAGCAGGTGGCCTGTACCCCTCTGCAGCTCATGGGTAGGGGCCTAGGAGCACGGCCAGCCATAACACCGTGGGGGCTGAGGACTGTTCATGTCATGTCCACACAGTTCTTCAAAGCCCCTGGAGGCCACCAGGTAGGACCTGGAACAGTGACCCCTCAATAGCCTGCAATCCCTGCCTCCTGCAGTAAACACCCTAGGGGCCAAGTGGCTGGGGTGAGGTCACCAGTTCCAGACCCTTGAATGCCACTACCAAGGAGGGAGTCAGGCTGCCTGCCTGGAGAAGGGACAGGAATGGCTAGACCTGTCCCCTGTCTGTCGCTCTGTGCAGAGCTGCTGCCCCATGTTGGCCAGGTGCCGGGGGGTGAGACACTCTCTGCTGTCCCACCACACCACGCCCCTCACCGCTAGTGGCAGATCATCACCAGCTCTAGCAGCAGAGTGTCTGCGAAGAGGCTCAGGAGATAACAGCCCCTCTGGGCCTCTGCTGCCAGCCTCATTATCACCTGCAGGCTCAAGCTGCTCTGCACACCCTGCCCATCAGCACACAGGGCCCTCGTCCCTGGTGTGGGAGAGCAGCAGGCTGCTGGGCTGAGGAGTGTCGGGTGTGGGGGCTGTTCCTGGGCGAAGTTCTTCACCCCTAATGCTGGGGCGGGGGTGGCTCAGGAGGAGTTACTCTAGTCACACTGTGTGTTCCGGCTGCTCAGGCTCCTGGGGCCACCGTGGGTTTGTGTGCATTTGACCCCACACACCCGGGCTCCACGGCAGGTGAGCCACATCTGCAGGGCCTGGTTTTGCAGTGAGGCCCATGGCAACATGGCAGTAGGGATGGGCCTTCAGCCTGGAGCTGCCTGGCCGGACCACTGGGGTCTCCTACTCTCAATGAGTGCCCTCTAGACTCCCGGATTGTCCAGCCCCTCATCCCTGAGTCCATCTGGTCACAGAAGGTCCCTCTGTGGATCCCCTTCCTGCTGCAGAGATCACACAGGGGTCCTAGGGAGGGTGAGAGAAGCTCCAGGTGACTTAGGCCTCCACAGTAGCCAGGAGGACCTGGTACCCACCCTGAGCTGCCCCTCTGCCCATAATGGGCCCAGCTTGCTTCTCCTTGGACAGGGGGCACTCTCTGCCACCCAGGGGTCTGCTAGGACCCCAGGGCTCTTCTTGATCCCAGGAGGGCAAGGGTAGAGAGGGAGGGCTGCTCCCAGCTACAGATTTGATCCCCCTCTCCAGCTCTCTAGTTACCCCGTGCACTAGAGTCAACTTTGCTTCATACACAGCATCATCCAGCCATACCTGGACACAGCTTCCTGGCAAATCAAGGCATCGCAGCCCGCTTCCAATCGCCTGCGTTCCCCTATCTGTGCACCCCTGACCAGGCCACTTGGTTGCTCTCATAGGCAGCAAAGAGCTGGCCCTGGACTGACCTTAGGGCCTCTGGCTACAGAGTACATGGTCTGTCCTTCCCTGGGATGGCCAGACTTGGGCAGCTGTAGTGGACTCCGACTCTACCCATGTTACCCCAGAACCCATACCAACTGTCTGCACTCAGGCCACCCCGGGGTTGGGGCCATGGGCCACAGAGCCCCCAACCTCCTAGGCACCAATAGTGTAATACTGACACCCCCTGAGCCCTGCCTGCTGCCTAGGTAGGTCCTAGGTAGGTCCAAGTGTCCTCCTGGGGACACTGGCTACCCCTTGCCAGTGGAGAATCCCAAGACCCACAGGGGTACTGACTGCAGAGGTGTCAGGGTACTGAGCCTGGCACCTGGCCCTTCCCTGCTGACACAGGCTCCCATTTCCATAGGAAGAAAGCGTCACCCTCCCAGGCTCCTGGCAGGTGGGGGCAGGGGGGCAACCAGCGGGGACACAGAACCCCCTTCCATGACATTGCAGGATGTCTACCTCGGGGGCCATGACGCCCAGCCACGCTCTCCAGTTGTCATGGAGATGCCAGTGTCTGTGTCTGAGCTAGGGCTATTTCTGTCCTGAGACTCATTGTCCTGCCCCCGCAGAGTCACCCTTCCTGCAATGGCCCCTCCCTTCAGAGCCCGAGGGTGCGTGTGCTGCCCGCTAGCTCCTGCCCAGACACTATCCCAGGCAGGGTCCAGGAGGACTGGGCCCCTGAGGGCCACCAGACCTGAGGGGCCCCCCAGGCCCCTTCCTGGGCTTTTTCTCTCCCCTTGAAGAGGTTCTTCATCCCCACTGGCTCTTGGGGGGTCCTTGGCCAGCCCCACGAAGTTCAGGGTAAGGGTCTGTCTCTCATTGGGGGCAGCTCTGCTGGTATCGGGGAGCACTGAACAGTGGTGGGGAGATGACCCTGAGCCCTGGTACATGGCTGAGGCTAGCAGTGTCCTCTGAGGCTGGACTTCACCATTTTGACCAGATAGTGACCTTCTCAGCCACTCCAGAGCTGCCATTGGTGCCCAAGTCTCAGAGACAGGGATCCAGTGTTCTTCGGGAACCCTAGGACCTCCAGCACTCCAAGGGCAATGCTGGGGCAGCACAGGGAAGCCCTGTCCACCCCACCCAGCTCCTGTGGGGACATGGTGTCTCCTGACGTCTACAACCCAGACGAGAGAGCTGCTCGGGGGGCTGCAGGCCAGGGTGGGATGGGCAAATCAGTCATGGGGCTTCAGATCTTCACACCCTCTTCTGTGTTGCCATAGCCCACAGTGGGTGAAGACAGCTGTCCCCAGAGGGGGCCACCAGGCCCTGCTGGGTGCCAAGCTGGGGTGTGAGCTGTCACCTCTGAGGCTAGCAGCCCTGCTCTGGCTTTTGCCAGCCTTCGACAGCCCCTGCCTACCCTCCAGCCTGCAAACACCCACAGCTGGGTCTTCCATCCCCCACCACTGCCTCCCGCCCTTCTCTCCTCCCTGGTCATCAGTGTGGACAGCCAGGGGGCAGGCTGGTGGGGGAGCTGGGCCAGCCAACCAGAACCAGCAGGCAGGGGTGGGCCACCCTAGTTCTCAGGCTACTTCTGCTGCCTCTCCAGCAGGCAGCCTGGCTCAGGGGGAGTCAGCCCTAGGGAGTCGCCATGTCCCATGTCCCAGGTTGTGGGGCCAGGGCCCTGTGTGGAACTGATCTCTGGCTGACACTGAATGCAGCCCTATCTGCCACTGACTGGGGGGGCTCCACTGCTGGGGGTTGGGGGCATGGCACCAAGGGGCACTGTCATTATCCTTAAAAGTCTGCCCTCGTGCCAGGGCTTCTGGCGGTTTCATGGAGGAGTGGAGGCAGACACCACAGACCCCGAACACAGTCTACTCTCCAGGGCTCCCTCTGTCCATGGCCAGACGCTCTCTGTGTCACCAGGTGGGTTGGTGGCCCAGACAGCCTAGTGCACATGGGGGCCCTGGCCTGGGCCCCCCACACTAACACGTGGCCTTCAGCACCCTGCCCATGCTCTGTCCAGTCATCCCTCCCCAAACAGGGAAGCAACCTTGGTTTCCTGTGGGGAGCAGGCTCCAGCCTGAGGCGCCACTCGCCAGCCTGCCTGCCCAGGCCACCCCAGGCCCCTGCTCATGAGGGGCACTAGGTTGGGCAGGAGGAGCTGGAGCCCTGGCAGGCTGTGCAGCCCTTTGGGGCAGGTGACTGGGGGAGGCCTGGCAGTAGGCAGGGGGCTCTGCCTGCGCCTGGCCCAGGGGCAGTGTGGAGCTGCCCTCCGCCTGTTGGTCTTGGCCATCCTGGGAAGCCGCAGGCGCCAGGCAGTGTGAAAGGCTCCTTTC